TTTACGAATAATGGACAACTCAAACGAGTTCACTCGACCAGTTTTATCATCTCGCTCATGGCTGTGAGAAGGTATGTATAATTTGCCATAGGTTTACCTTATAATGGGGAATAAAAAATTCAAGTAATATAATCATTTCACGTACACAAATATGTCTGTGTGAAGTAAAATACAAATACAATGCGTTTTATAATATTTTTGGGGTTATAGTATAAAATATCCGCTTTAAAAAATTTTAATTATGATGTATCATGTGGATTAGTAGACGTTCTCAATGGATTCAATGAACAGACTGGCTAAGTTTTAATTGAATCATTTAAAATGTGTGTATTTTTAATATTTTAATCCACAGTGTCCAAAAACAATAATAATGCTATATTGGTAATTGGAAAGATTCCACTTACCATGATTTCAAAAAATCGGAAATAGAGTTTAGTTAGTTTAGTTTAAAATAGTTTATTTTTGTGTCACTGATATTACAATATACACTCCCCTCCATAAGTTTGGCAACCTTTTTTCCCCATTGAACTACGTGTTAAAGCCTCTTTACCTTTGACTTTTTATTTACTTAACCGGCGATGAAATAACTTATAATATTGATGGAAACGTAACTTGACTTTATTCCCAATAACTCCACATTTTCTCAATTTTTTCCCCGATTACAATAGGTCGAAAATTGATGATAAATTTGATGAATTTTTGAGAATCGTCATTCCCATGTAATCCAATGGGAAATGGAGGGTTCGGGGCAAATCAGAAATCAGGATATCTTTTCAGTAAAAGATTCAGCAAAAATATTTTTATATAGAAAATTGAATTGTCTAACTTTTTTGAACACTAAGTGTTAAGTTTATTTGATGAATATTAAAGTTACAGCGCTTCAAAGTCATTTTTGAAAATAATTTTTCGCCTCCTGTGTTATTTCAATGGGAGAGGTTTTTTTTTAAAAAAATTGACTTTAAAGCCCCATAACTTTGTTGAACCTGAAGAAACATATCCACGGTGAGCAACCATACCGCACCGGGGATCGACCCCGGTGCGTTACACTTAAATTGTAACGCTCCGGAGTGAAGAAAAATGGCGGACAATGATAAATGCATAATGGACGTGAGTAGAAATTTCTGATTTACGATGTTTCGTGATTAGGTACGAAGAACTCCTATGTACCATTCAAAGTACAATATATTAAGGAATGATCCAGATCGATTAGATCAGTGATAACTAGCCTATATAATGCAAACAAGATGTAAAAGCACAAGCAACATTAAAATATTTTGATGTTTTTTATTCTTTTTTTGAAATATACAGAGTATTCCTAGATTGTGCGAGAATATATCTTATCAACATGATCCTTATGGTTGCATGCAAAATTGTGTCAGTTTAGGATTTAAATGGTGGTCAGTTTTATAAGATATCACTAAATCTAGTTGTAACGCACCGGTCATATTAGGCCAATATTTGGAAACGCACCGGTGCTTTATTCATTTGTTAATATTACCCTATATTATAGGTCATACTGATAACATAAGAACAATAATATTTCCAGATGTTCGGTATCATACCTCTAGATCCCCCCCCCCTGGATGATGTACTGGTACTGGTAACTACTTTATAGTTGACGTAATGCTTGATAAATCTAAGATATCATGGAAACTTAGGAGTATGACCATTTATTCTTAAATCATAAGTGGATGCCATAATTCAACTGTATGTTACACCGCTTAAGGGAAGGTAAATGGAAGTGAATTTTGCAAAATCAAACTATCAGTTACCTTCCCTTAAGCGGTGTAACGTATAATTGAATTATGGCGCCCGTGTATGATTTAAGAATAAATGGTCATACTCCAAAGTTTCCATGATATATAAGGCTTATCAAGTTCAAATATCAAAGCATTGCGTCAATTATACGTAGTTTAATTTGATGAAAACAAAAAATATCGAAATCGACATTTTTCGTCCGCCATCTTAGATAAGAAGGTAACGGTCGTTACCGCATCTTGATTCTGACCACTGAAAGCGTCATATCTTTATCGCCTGTAGTATGTATTACCGTATTTTGCAAACTATCACATTTCATACTTTGATTTTTTATGCATTTGTGTATTGTATAGGGTGTTTCATAATTACCCTCTCCCATCCAAAACCAATCCTAAATCACATGGGCCTTTAGATTCTCTTAATCTATACATCATCATACAGTTTTTTTAATAATGCACTTATGGGCTAAATATTGGAACGAGTGATCGTTGGGACCATAATTTGTGGATTTATGTTTTGTCGTCACTATCATCCTAATTTGCTGGATTTATGGCTTCTATTTGTACATTGGGTTTAAAGAGAGGGACAAATAATAACATTATTATTCGTATCATTAAGAGCTTAAAAAAGAGCGTAAAAGCTGCTGAGCATAATCAAAGTTGTTTTAATAAGTCATGAATTGATTGAGCTTTCCTATGGTATTATAACACATGGAGGTGCGCCATCTAGGATTGGTGACTGACAGGGGACGGTCATTATGAAATACCTTGTTATGTGAAATGTACTTCCAGAGTGAGGGTTTGCTTCTAAAGCTAACAACCATACCTGTACGTCATGTTTGAGGTGGAACTAAGGGAATATACCACCTCACAACCTCCAGGAAAAGAAGCCACGATATGTTATTTATTGGGAATTTGTCTTTCGCGAGGAGTCTTAGTAGCATAATGAATTCGGTGCAAAAACTGTGTCTTCTGAGACACAATATGACATTTGGTAGCAGTTTCATAGCACTTTCAATTTCAATGGCATAATCAGTGTGTGATTGTTCAAACAATGTTTTTTTCTAATTTTTGGCTTTTTTCTTTTCTTTGGTGCATTTTTCCTAGCACTTCTGATAGCCTTTGTATTAGCATTGATTGGTGTCTTAAGTGATTTATCGTTAGTTGTGGCTTGTACAACCAGCGTTTCTTGTATCTTGAATGCCCAGTTTGCAGTCCAGAACTTCTCCGTCGTTTCCTGTAAAAATAAAACCGGTGCGTTTCTAAATTGTCGTAGATTTGTGTCGGTGCGTTACCCCATCAATTTCGGAAGGTACATTTCATGAAAATAAATGACGCTTATGCAATGTTCGAATTGTAAGATATTGAAGAGTAGTATGTTTATTAATATATCTATATTGAGTAAAAAAATCTGTGGTTGTTCCAATCATTTCTTTGACAAGAAATACAACATTTTAGACGAGCCTTTAACTTTCCTTCGAATTTTTCAAGGTGCATTTACATTTCGTTCACATAATACCGATATGTTACAGCTTTGTGGAATTTTAATAAGGTACCCTGATATATCGTGTTTAGAATGGAATGTGTTAAAAGATATTCACTCACCTCTGGTTTCCACTATTATTTGTTTCCTCCGGAGGAAACACATTTCCGTCCGCCATTTTAAAAGGACGGTGCGTTACCAACGCTCCGGGGAAAAGTGTAAAGCATCGGGGTCGATCCCCGGTGCGGTATGGTTGCTCACCGTGATATCAATTTCTTGTTAAATAAAGTTAGCAAATTCAATTGCCTGCCTAACTCGTATTTTTTGCAAAGACTCGGATGGATGAATATTCTGTTATATGACTTGCGGCAAACCTACCATTTCCCATTAGTTAACATGGGAATGTCGATTTTCAAAAATTCATCAAATTTATCATCAATTTTCGACCTATTGTAATTGAGGAAAAAATTGAGAAAAATTGGAGGTATTGGAATTAAAGTCAAATTACGTTTCCA